GAACTTCACGAGAAATTTAATCTAATACAAACATATACGCAATGAGTAAGCCATGTAAATATATGCATTTCATTCTTATTTAATGCTTGAATGCGATCCTGTATATTTTTTCTTTTTAATAGGTGACATATATTTATGCTAGTATGTGAGTTGAGTGTTGAATCCGGTGTATGATTGAGTTAGCAGAAACATTTTATTTTATTATGTAAATATATCACAAGAACAAAAATTACATTAGCAAGAAACCTCCTAACATGACTTACTCATTGTCTAAATCTGTCGTTACAATAATCGAAAATATTCGTGCGTTGACGTTTGTATTTTATTCGTTTGTTAATACATAACTTTATGAAACGGATAAGATTAAGAAAAAAGTATTATTTTTAATTTATACAACAGTTTACGCAGAGTGTAAATAATCGATTGTTACGACTGTGGAGACTTAAATGAAACTTTTCGGAGTTTGATAATGTTTACTTACGGCAATTTTTTTATTCATTTATTTATGCCGTAGCGAAAGACAGCCAGTTGATTTAATTCTTTATCGTTGCTTTATTTTTATAAAGAATTAAATAATTGGTAGGTTGGTAGAAATATATAAAGCGATATGTCGTAGCATTAGACTCGATTACGTAATGTATTGCGAAAATGTAGATTATGTGAACTTAATAGGAAAGAAAAAATGTTTACGAGATCGAGTCGTAATGTTACTCTTCAAAAAGTTTCAAAGACTTCTCTAACAAGGTGAGAATAGAAGACAATTCGCTAATGCTAGTTGGAATATTTAAAAAAAATTATTTTATTATTATTTTAGCTTAGCCAATGATATACCTTGGTTGCTCCATAGTCTGCGAAGGCACAGTATTTATATTCTACATGTGAATCATTTGAAGAATGAGTTTTATGAATGGAATATCTGTTGTACCATGTCACTGATTGAAAAGTATTGTATCAAATTTAAGTTATATGTAACAATAGTACACGATATTTTGTAATCCGCTAGAATACGATAGATGCAATGTGGTCCTAAATAAATTGCGGTACTGTTATTCCACTCATCATTTCTTGTTATTACATGCATAATAACGACGATATATACATGTATGCTCTGATATTAAAGTTTAATAGGTCAAAATTACGAATGAGAATAAATTGAAGTTTACTTACGTTAGTACACATATGTCGGTATATCGTGGTAAATATTGTAGCATCTTATGAAATTAAATTATATTAGCCATTATCAGGTATTTTTAAATAACCTTTCCCCTTTTAATAAAATCTAGTACTTTTTTCCCCTCAATTGTAATACTAACTATTATTTAACGTCATTAAAGACTGAAAGGACATAATAAAATCGTCATTTTGTCATACATAATTCACACTGAATGTTTATTTAATTGCATAATTTTTTTATCAGAATGTGGATTAAGGAAAGATTTGACATGTTTTGCAGCATATAAAATTTGCACCAACTTGTAGAATTTGTAGAAGAACTACAAGTTTTATGTTTTAAATATAATTAAATATAATATCATGTTATTTTAACAATCTTTTATCGCGATTAACTCTTGATCAGTTTTAATTTAACATTTGTTGCAATGAACAATAAATAAAATATATATTTATATTTTATATTATATAAAGTACATTTATAACGTCAGTTCGCAAATTAATAATCAGTTTGTCCCAAAACACTATACATGATCCTCTTGAAGCTGTTACTCTGGTGGATTTTTTCACCGTCGTCATCAAGAATATTTACCTAGAAAAAAATTATAAATTACCATTGTAGTTGAATAAAGTGATATCGTTAACAAATTTTATAAACGCTTGGCATTCATAGTAATACAATACATATGTTCGAATCATTTGAATGAATTATAATTTTTGAATTGGTTTTAAATATTTAAGGAGAAGATTTTTTCTGTCACCATAAAATATCTTATTCAGTATTTATAAACAAATGTATACGTAAAAATATGCAAGTGACATATACGAATCGACATCAGATTTATGTAAATAATCGTTTGTTATTATAATGTGTTTATAAAAGGGAAAAGAATTTCTATATTCATTCAATTTATATAATTACAAAGACTGCCGTGAGTCTACTAAAATTAAAATGTTACAATTAAATGGTGACATCGAGTGATCTAGCCGCACTCAGCCAGTAAGCATTCCTGTGGCTAGAGTTACCAGGAAATTCTTTGCACCGGCCGCCTAACTGCCCTATTTGAAGAAAAAAAGTAATTCTTTGTTGACATTGTACAGTCCCGAACAAGACTCAAGCTCTAAAGTCTCTCCTATATTATTTCAACTTTCAACCTAAGTATGTATGTCTGTGATGTATGGCTTCAACATGTAGACTTTAACGTCGACCGATTGTACAACCTCACTATATCGTTTCTACCGACTTTACTTATGTGTCCACGTACGTATATTCTACACATGCATGTACATATAACGCGGTCAAATGACGCTGATGTAAAATCCGAATATGTATTTAAAGTTTTACTTACGTATGGTCCAGCTGGACTTTTTGGTCGAGCGTGGTATATCTGAAAATATTTATTGATCAGACAAGAGTAACGTTTAGATAGTAAGTAGAATTTAACTATTCTATATGCATACCCTATTTTGGTTAACCTTTTGCGGAGAGAAAACACCGGTGCGCGCCGGTTGTCTTACTTCCTGCACTACGTCACCGAGAGCCTCCTCTTGCAGAGCCTTGTAAGCCTCGCTCTTGCTCGGGTCGTACTTCACCGGTTTCTTCGAGCTGTACCATTGTATCGCATGTGTACACACGGACTATTTTTAATTCATTTGCCTCGATTTTGTCAGATCGGTTAGCAGCAGCCAGGGTTATATCGCCAATTGTTTGTTCGAGAGCGACTTTCGGACCGCTTCCATGCCCTTTTCATTAATCGAGTCACAAATATGTCTCAACTAAATCTTTGATGCTTTTCTCGAGAATTACATGAGGTGTCGATTCTTACATTTAAGATACTATATTTCACTAATAGGATACAAATAGCTGCTTTTAGTGATACTGATTTGTAATTTTCGAGAATTGCTTCTTGATTGTATGAGTATCAAAATTAGTAAGGCTACTAATTTGCATGAACATTTACTCTGATTAATTATTGATTACTTTCAATGGTACAGCATGCAGAAAAATATATAGTATGGTTATTCTAAGAATTTCCTTTGAAACTTGTTTTTTTTCTAGCTTTTCCGTCGATTTTATCGATTTACTTGAAGTCACAACAACAAATTGCAATATGTATGTATCTATGTAGTTATATGCATCACGACCCTATAATTACGATTTATAGATATTAAACTGTAAAGCAAAAGAGTTTGAATCAATAAATACTTTATCGAACGATTATCAAGAGCTTAATCACGGATCAGTGGCCACGCTCATTTGCCTTATTAAAAAAGAAAGAAAGAAGGAAGGGCGATAAACAATTTTAAGAGAAAGAAACAATTGCGAGACAAGGAATGTGACCAATGATTCTCGTGAAAACAATAGAATTTGAAACTATGGATATACTACGACGTGCGAGAAGCATCGAAAAACGTCTCGAACTGGATATTAATTTGGTCTATTGAATTGCGGCCACACATTCTTCGAGGCGGCGGCTATGGCCTGTTCTTTCAAGATTCTCGCTTGCTCCTGTATTTCCTGTTTCTGTTTCACGAAGGAAAAGTCTATGAAAATGCTGGAAAACAAACAAACTGCACGTGAGTGTTATCCATTGTGAAAAGGAAACAACAGTATAAGGACTGACAGCTGCGTTTTCTGTTCTACGTCCATACTCCCGTTCTGATCACGTGCCCGACAGTCTATAACCAATGAATTGATAAATCCTCGATTTGCAACTTCCGATTAATGTCCCTCGCACGTAAACTATGGGTCATTTTTTCGATGCATTATTATTCAAGTTATAATTTTAAAATATCCGTTAGTTAATGGCGCCAAGATCATAACTGCTCAGAGTTAATAGTTTGATAAGTATCAGCATCCAGCAAAAATTTAATAGTATTAATGCTAGTAACTTTATTACGCTACTGCAAGCTGTACGGCGTATTAATATTTGTTTTATGTATATCTATTTATTACTTACGGTATAGCGGTTGTTTGGCTCTTTATAGTGTCGGCAATATTTTGTTCGGAATAGAGTCCAATTGGTGAGTTAAATTGCTTGTGGACAACCTAAGAATAAAATTGTACGAGATAAAAAATAATAACTGCAGCAACTGCAAATTTATTACAATGGTATTGTTCGTTTAAATCTTTCCTTAAGTCATAAATTTACCACTAAACAAATTGAAAATATGTATTAGTTAGGAATTTCATAATTTATCGTAATAACGCGTCTATCAGTTGTTTAATAACGTTTTAACACGTATTCAATTAGTTATTTGAAGCTTAATAATAACTTCAGTTACACTATAAAATAAACTTAAAGTTTAGTTAGAAGAGTACCTTGTAGAGATGATATATAAATTTAAATTTGAAAAATCGCTTGATAGGAACAATATACAATTTGAAACAAAAATGTAGATTACATGCCACATAATGACTGTTTTTACTAAAAGCAAAAGCATGTTGTATCGCACGGAAGCAAAAGCGATTTGAGTATAAAGTAATCCAAACCTTTGGAACTTCATTCGGTCCCAAGACACGTTGAAGTACCGTTTCTGCCACCTAATCAGATGTTGTACAAAATATATATACAAATTAATATAAAAGATTGTCCTTTGTTTCAAGCAAATCGAAACATAGGACAGTTTTTCACAAATGAAGCATTTTTCAGCGCAGGATTGAATAAAGCGTACCTTTTGTTTCATAGCAACTTCAGGATGAGCTTGTTCGTAATGATGCGGTGCCGCTCTGATCATCGGATTGGGATGATGGCGCAAGTAGCATTCTCCAAGCGGAGCATCCTTTTTTATCTTTGCACCTGGCAAGACCAGAGGAGTTGTGCGGTATGGCTAAAAATCAACGCTATCGATAGTATTCAGATCATGTAATATACTCCTTTATGTTTATCGATTATGAGTGTAACTATTTCAACTGTACCTTGAAATAATGGTACAAATAATGATACGAATGGTAAAAATAAGGTACGAGTAAAGTTGTAATTAATCGATAAAAATAATTAACGAATTATGTGTAACGAAAAAAGTGTTTAATAAGCTAAGTAGGCGTGAAATATTCTGTCAGAACGGTGTCAATTACCAACCAACGAAAGCTAAAATAAGCCATTATTAAGAGGCCATGATGACCGATGACACCTCGTTAATTTTCGAGACTGTTGCAATATCAACGTATGGCTTTTATCTTCAAACGTGATTAAAAATATATTTACCGATCATTTCCTCGATATTGATGTGTTATTTTTCCGTAGGTTCTCTATTTACGTTTAATTGCTTTTTACGATGACAATTCGTTAAACGACCGAATATCATTACAACGAAGATGATATTTTTGGCCAACTATAGCAACCGGAAATGAACACGCACTGTGAAATATAATGCTCGACCACCATTAGTTTCAAATGAAAGGTATAAAAAGTATCTAAAATTTTTGGTACTTGGCTCGTATCTGTACAATGAGAAAATTGCATAAAGCCGCGGCGTTACAAACAAAGCGTTTGCCAAGTATTTCCTGCGATTACGTTATCTATCGTTCTACACGGAGTTTTACGCAGAATTACGAAATTATTAAAAATACAATTGTTACATTTCCACGAAAACTCGAGAAGAGTCGAGAAGATTGAAGAACAGAAACCGTGGGCTATAAAGATGTAAGATGATTATGCTTGCTTGATGTTGTTTGATCGGCTGTCGTCATTGCTAAAAAATGACGAAAATGAGAATGTCAAGTGGAACGATGTAGAAAGAGAGTGAACAGCAGGATAAAGTTACGCGTCGTATTTATAAGACGCGCTTGCAAGAATAGAAGATCGAATTTGAATACAGTCACTATCGACTTTGTTTCGAACGAACGACGATTGAACGACCGATGCAACGATCGATGCAACGATCGATGCAATCCTGGCTTTCACGAGATCATTAATTATATCAAATAACGATTATTTCATTATAAATGGGTCGGAAACATTATCTTAGAGGGTGAGTAACGGTCTCTCTCTCTCTCTCTCTCTCTCTCTCTCTCTCTCTCTCTCTCTCTCTCTCTCTCTCTCTCTCTCTCTCTCTCTCTCTCTCTCTCTCTCTCTCTCTCTCTCTCTCTCTCTCTCTCTCTCTCTCTCTCTCTCTCTCTCTCTCTCTCTCTCTCTCTCTCTCTCTCTCTCTCTCTCTCTCTCTCTCTCTCTCTCTCTCTCTCTCTCTCTCTCTCTCTCTCTCTCTCTCTCTCTCTCTCTCTCTCTCTCTCTCTCTCTCTCTCTCTCTCTCTCTCTCTCTCTCTCTCTCTCTCTCTCTCTCTCTCTCTCTCTCTCTCTCTCTCTCTCTCTCTCTCTCTCTCTCTCTCTCTCTCTCTCTCTCTCTCTCTCTCTCTCTCTCTCTCTCTCTCTCTCTCTCTCTCTCTCTCTCTCTCTCTCTCTCTCTCTCTCTCTCTCTCTCTCTCTCTCTCTCTCTCTCGAAATAGATGAAGGACCCTAGCCGGCAAAAATAACGTGTACCCCGTCTGCTGCGAAATTTTTCACCGCCACGATCAATGCTTGTCAACTCTTGATTAATTTTTATTATCATTGATCTTTTTAATTAAAAAGTTGAAAGCACGATTAAAGTACTTCCATCGAGTATCTACTTATGTCATATACTTATATCATTATTAACTATCCGTCGAAAATATGTCATTTCGGAGAAGGAAGTTGTTTTCACGTCGTTTTATAGAATGTCCCCGAACTAAATTCGGACTCACCGAAACAGTTGTTTCGAAAATTGTTTATCGTTTGGCTCGGTAGCGATGCACTGAAACTCGAACTACAACAATGAAAAAACTTTCTAGATTCTGCTGGCAAGGTACACAGAAAAGACAACAAGTGTTTCGATATTTTGTAAATTGAGTCACAGTATCTGATAGACCAAAGGTCTGGTAAATTGAAATGTTTCTACATAATCAACAACGATCCTTTTCCTATGTATTTCTTTCGTGTTGATTCCCTTAGCCTGCGATAACGTTTTTCAACGTTGCCGAAATAATTTTTTAACGAAGCAAGTTCTTTGGAAAGTCAAGAGGACAAACTGTAAGAGTGTCGTTGTATGACCCTCTTGTGTTTGAGTAACCCAGATCTCATTTACGAAAATAGATTAAGATTCCAATGAATAGTCGGTAACATGCTTACATTCGTTTTATTGCATCGCGTTATTAGTCAGTCATACCCCCTGTAATCTTTTTTCAATTGAATAGTTCTTCCTTCCGTTGCATTCGTTCTTACAGCGTGCACCGTTTCGTGATAAGCCGTATGCAAGTTCGTTTGCTTGTCTTTTTCAGTGTCATTAGGGTAGAATCAAGACCTAGCCCTACTTTTACGGAGGGTGTCAAGGTTGGCACTCGGCGACGTAATTCAAAATTTAGATCATCTTATGTTACGTGTTCGTTTCTAACGAGTAATTGTCGATTTCGATCGCTAATCCATATCTTTAAATTCTTTATAGGAAAAACGATTGCTGTTAAAATATCCGTTCTGAATCAGTGTCGACAGATACGAGAAAAAAATAATATAAGACGGATGAGAAGGAAAACGTTGCGTTAGGAACAACACGGTCTTCTTTCTCGATGCTGTGTTGTTTTATTTTCAACAATGATAAGATATTTTATCTTTTTAACTGATGTAAAATATCAACGAAAGGATAAAAATTCTTTTTTCGAATTAAGACTATTCCTGTCCGTCAAGGATCGATAATTGAACAAAAGATGAAAAGCAATTGCACCGCCGTAGTAACAAAGATTGGATAGATCGGCATAAAGTTCTGATTAATTAAATACTTGAATGATATCGTAACGATGATGAATTATCGATATTCGACGAAACATGGAATAGGTTTTCTTTACTTTTAATGACTGATAACTGTTTCGTACCCAAAACACGGCAGCCTCCTCCTCTTTCGGCTGGTGTTCGATGTTGTGACGATAAATGGTCGTGTAAGCCGGCATCGTTTTCTTAATCGAACCGAAGTTCGTATTCCTGCAACTGCGGTAGCACTCTTAATCGAGAATCGCTTTCTTTTTTCCCCTCTTTCCTCCCGCTTTCACCGAGAAGTTACTTCACTTTTTTCCTGTGGATCTCTCCCTTACGAATATTCGCTAACGCACTGCCTCGTTGCGCGGGCGGCACTAACTCTGGTCTTTTCCACGCGACTCCTCTCGCGCTCTTTCTTCTCCTCTCCACGTATTACCGACGTATCTCGATCGTTCCTACGTTTTATCCTCTTGATCGGCGATATAATTTTCTTGTCGATCTCTATCAGCTACCACAATCCTTTTTGTTGCTAGCAGCATTTCCTCTCCAATATAAAAAATGCTTACCGAAACGATCCTTTCGATAGAATAATTACAACCCATTAAACGATTAATTTCTATTTCGATTGCCATTTGTATGTATTTTTGATCGATTGTGTCACATCTGGATTCGAACCAAATCCCGAGAAAGCTAGAAAATAGGTATTCTTAATCATTTCAAATGTGAATTGTTCTTCGAATCAATCATTCTCGCATTCGTTTCTTCTTTTTTTTTCTTCTTTTTTTATTTGTACATTCTGCTTGTTACATACGTTCGTTAACCAGGCGATGTTTTCTTCGATATAATGATTGGTATATCTCGCGACCTTGGACGAACATCCGAAACATCGTGGAAAATGTTTTCCTTGGCTCAGCGTGCCTTTTCATCGCCGGTTTAGTTACTTATCATAAGCAAATACAAACGTTTTGTACCGAGTTTCGCTATTGTATTTCCCTTAAAGTAGCCATAGGACTACTTCGGAGGAAATCTAATACTCGATGAATCGTTTATTGCACGAACAGAGTATAACGGTTAACACGTGCCGTTCTCTCGGAATTTCTCTAAGTTGACATTTTGTTGTTGCAATCGGCAGAACAATAAGAATATGTATTTTCAAGCGGAGACTAGGATCGAAATAGTGTTCCGAAATCGTTCTGGATCGCGTAGTATTGGATCGGAGAGGTGGTTTCGATGCAAAAGCGATATTTATAGCGTGGCAACTGCCTCTACGTGGACTTTCCGGCATCGTGGCGGGCCAACAAAAATATATTCACGCTTCGGACGTCTCGCGAATAAAGGCGTCTTCGTATCACGAAACTGTACGTACATATATAGCTATTGATCTCTCAAATCTTCCGAGACCGTGATTCCATCTGACAAAGTCAGCGGTAATCGTGTCCCCGTCGAAATCGTAAGCTTAACGAAGAATGTAAGAGAATAATCCGCTACTTAGCTAAGAAGACAGAGCGATACGCGGGGAGTGGTAGCCGTATAAATGGATGGATTAACAACCGGACTAAAAGCTCGACTAAAAGCCAAAGACGAACGAGTAAATACTCTCGCCGTTTCGACGAAGGGGTTCAAATCGATCTATGTTTAACGATCATGTACGGATAGCTTGCCCTAAATTCGTTATTAAACGACCGTAAGATCATTTTTCCACTTGAACCGAAATCGAATACATCGTACAGCTTGTTGACATCTTGAGATAGAATGCGGAAATAGCAAATTATATTCGACGGATATTCTGTCATCTCACAACTACTCGGTGATCCAACTATGAGTTATTGAGTTTCAAAGCGTTCGAACGACATATTTCGAAACGGTGTGTAACTTGCCAAATGCAATATACCGTGTACTTTGAAATACAATAATTTATATTCTAGTCGCATGATATACATATAAATTCATTACGAAGAACGATATTATGCGGAGCATGCAGAAGACGATGTCACTTTTCAACAATTATCCAAGTTTAATCCAGTTGCTCTATTTATTTCTTATTTCTTTATCTTTATTTCTCTCGAGTCTTTGACGGCACGGAAGCCATAGAAAAAAATATCTAATTTCATAGATAACGATCTCTGCTCTACTTAGCGAATGATTTTGTCGTTTCGCCGGATGGGTTTGTTATTTGCTTGTCGATCTTTTTATAGAGTCTTTTAAACGATCGACTTTCCGATTTTATTTATCTGTGAATCTAGAGCAACTTATCGGACATTATGATATTCAGAATGTACAGCGGCGGCGAAACGTCGTCGAAAAGAGTTACAGGGTGTTGGAAAAGAATTATAAATACATCCAACGATCGTGAAGACGTATCATTAGCTTCATCTTCATAGTATTGCATTTACGGATCAATGAACTACTCTGGTAGTATGAACTAATTAGGCGACGTTTACATTCTCAAATTTAGGAAGCGCTATAGAAAACAATTTTCTTTTTTTTTTTTTTTTCAAGAATCGATGTTGCAATGAAATGCTCCGAGTGAATGACAATTCGTTCTTACTATTGTCTCCGAGGCCATACCGTGTGTTACGTGGATTCTATTGTTTGTTTAAAATACGCTTGCTAAAATTAATTGTCGATGAGATAGAAGCGAGCAAATACTTACATTCGCTTGATCGTTGTTCAAATTCTCGGGCAGAACGTTGAACATAATATATATTGAATGAGTTTATTACAACAGGACGAATAGCGATGTAGATTGCTTGCTCCTGCGTGTGAATTCGTGTTTCAAAATCTGCTCAAAGTACCTGCGACAAATTGGCTCTCTCTTCGCGAACCTCATCGAGATGTTCGTGCGGTAAGTTAAGGTGTTCCGGTGAAGATGCAGGCGGCCTGTATTCGTCGATTAAAGGCGGCGGTAAGGGGCTCTTCGGTAATTCCGACGGTATTTTCCGTTGTTTAGCTCTATAGCGGAATGGGAAAGTATCTTACTAACGAATCAATATGAAACAAATTCCTCTCACGAGAGCTTCGATGATACTTTCGACGATCACTTTCAAACATCTGAATTTACTATACAGAAAATAGATTTTGTTTTAGTATCGTGTACAGACGTAGCGTAACGATAATGCTTCAACGTTAGAAATTTCAAAGCGGACCAAAACTTGCTTTATCGATTCCTGAAGTTATCAGTGGTTTTCCCTGGCCCTCCTTAATATAATACATCGATCAAAGGATACAAAGACGTGCATTTTTCGCGTTTACTTTAATTTTCGAAGATTTTCTACGAAACGAAGGATTCGAAAAATTCTATTGTAATTGCAAGAAAGAAAGTGATCGTCGAACTAACGATGATGTTTCTTGATGCGATGAGCTGTCAATCAGGCGCTGCGATTAAAGTATGTATAAAATAAGGTAGGGAGAAGTTTAATACGAAGCGTTAATAGTCGTGTTACGTAGCAGTAGTAGCGTGCCGATAGTAGTGCGATAAATCGAACGCATAATAATAAAGGTGGAATTGCTTTCTGACAGACTAGTGACCGCAGCCCTGTCGCCAGTGTTCAACTGGATAATCGGAGATGACGTGGTAATGTTGATACGAGATGCATTCGACGGCTCAGACCTTTCGACCACGAGCCTTATTGATTCAGAGTTTTGAAGAAGATTCTGCGCGTCTACATGCCTCACATCTCGCGTGTCGTAATCGTCGATTTTCTTGATCACATCACCCCTCTGAAGCGTCTCGTTCTCCGACTGCAAATACAAATTCTATCGTAAGATAACCACGCATCGTTGATTTTCAAAGGCTTGCTATTTCTTAACTAACGTAAGAGAATTCTACGTTCGAGGCATCGTTTTTTAATAATTGAAATAACGTTAGTTTGACTCTCTCTCTCCGACTATAACAATTAAAATAACAGGCATGACATCGGACGTTGTAAAGCTGTATTAGTTACATTATCAACAAAATGTTGCTATCAAGCGAATATCAGAAACATAAATACCGCGAATATCGGTGTTTTTATATTTTAAATTATCGCGCGAAAGATGCGAAGACTTGCCGTTTAATTAGAATACGTAAAGTAATATGCAATGACGATTAAATGATAGAAGCATTTGGATAGCGTTCAAGTGTGTTTACGATTTCTCTGTGCTGCATTTAATAGTCATATTGGATAAAATGCAGTCGAGGCGATCAAAAAGACGCACAAGATTAGGTCACAAGTGTCAGCTAGACATGATTATGATTTAACGTATACGGTATAATCTACAGGCATCTTGTACTTGTTTAAAAGCGTGACGATATTAGGCGGTAGTTAATTGCCTTGCGAATAAGATAATAATCCGTTTGTAATAAATATTCGTGTATTTTAAATTGGATAGATATCGTTGTATGGTAAGCAGCAACAGCAGCAGCAGCAGCTTATGTACATTAGAAAATGATCTCCATTGCTTGCTGTTCTCTGTTATAGATAGATAAATAGATTTGCTGCAGATCCAATAATAACCATAAGCTGTATGCATCTAACAGTAACAGTAGACATGAAAGAAGAACTCACGCGGGTGACGACGATCGGTGTACCCAAATCAGCGCCTCCAGCGATACGTATTCCCCAAGGTTTGCCGGTGCTGGATCTCTTAAGCTTCACGATCACCGTTTGTTTCCTCGTCATGCTCTACTCTGTCTATCAGAAGAACGCAATCGCGTGTTTATAACGAACGGAAATCGCAGAGACCGATCGCTAATTCGAGTATTAAGAGCAAGACGATAACGAAAGAGCACGAAAAAAGGTCAAAGAAACGAAAAGCTTTTCCAATCAAATGAGAAAATTGATAAACTGCGAGATCGTTGAGAAATGTACGACGACTCGAGGCAATATCGAACCCGTGCTTACGCTCCTTACTGGCTAACGAGGACTACTGGCTGCACCGCCACTTTATTTTGACAGGCTTTACTTTTGTGAGCTTAGTTACCCAACTACCGGCTCGCCGCTTCTGCTATTCTGGCCCCATTTCGAATTGGCATACCGTGTGTATTGTTCTGGTCCGACCTGCACTCATTTCTCTGGCATTTGCGGCCTCCCTACCCTTGCTATGCCTACCGATAGGATCAATGATAGTGCATGAAATTAAATATCACAATATTATAAATTCTTAGTAATTTTAACCCGCAAACATTATTCTTCCAAAATGATCTTCTCTTTACAAAGTATGCTTTAAACGATGAATGAAAGTAACTATATACTTGTAAAAATACTTGTAAAAAAATATGCTTGTGTAAAAATACTTTAATTATACGATTAATTATATGACACGTCTATAAGGAATCAGAAAAATGTCGCCGGATATTGAATGAATGTACAAAATTAAACACTGCACGTAAATCATTTATTAAACACATTCATAGATTACAATGGGTGCTTTCCTTCAAAGTTACAAAGGAAAAATATGCCTGTGGATTGCACGATATAATCTTTAAAAAAAAAGCGATGCAGGATGAAACATAGTCCATCAGATTACATCATCGTAAATTACAGAGGAGAGAAAATGAAGAAAAATGTAGGATTTGATCAGGCTGCTACATATGTACTCACATAGGTTTCGTAAAAGTTGCCTACGGAAAATTTAAGAGACATCTTCGCCTCAAGCTCTTGAAACTCTCAACCGCACTTTCTTCTCCTTTTCACTAATTGTAAGTGATATCTACGAATACTTGAAAGGGTCTCTTCCTTATGTTGTTTCGATCTAATTGACTGCACCGTGATTAATGAGACTACATCAAGAAAGGAAGAGAAATAGTAAAAGAGAGTACATCAAATAAACCGAGAGGAAGAGATTGTACGTAAGTTTGACTTAAATTAGCAACCTATAGCGCGAAAGGTTAGTCAATCACACTTTTAAGAGTGTACCGTTCTAGTGACTCATTTATCTCGATTTACACGATACTAAGAAAGTATATACATAACAGCCGCATTCATCCGAATGATATCGCATCTAAATTAGTAATATTAATTGCCTGTTATTTGTTAATACCCCGGTAATATTGCTAACTGTTAAAAATGAACGCCGATAGGAATGGAGCTAATTGTACAAAGGAGGAAACCTTAAAAATGTTAAATAACTCTACTGTTGACGTAGATAGATTGATGATACACAAATAGATGTTAATGTTACAAACTGATATACAAATTTAATATAGAATATACGTTATTTTATACAAATTATTTAGTACAGTTCTTTCGAGAGATTCAAAGGAGTGTCATATTTTTGTCTATGAATATTCTTCACTAATCGCTCTACTAATTACCATTCGACGAATTTCACTGGTGCCAGCGCCAATTTCATATAATTTGGCGTCTCTTAAAAATCTTCCAGTCGGATAATCATTTATGTAGCCATTTCCACCTAAAAGAAGTCTATGCATTTCAAGAAACATTTTAAATTAATACATTTTTATCGGAAATTAACATTATGAATAATTTACCAAGTATCTGAATTGCGTTCAACGCAGCATTAGTAGCACACTCGGCTATGTAAAGTATCACCGCGGCACAATCTTTTCGGTTTATATATCCTGCATCGCAAGATCTAGCTACAGAATACAAATAATTTCTGCAAACGCTTAAACTTGTATACATATTTGCTATTTTTTCCTGAAATATTAATGTCAATTTGAACTTTTAGAAATTTCGAGTATAGAACTTGTGAACAAGAAGAAAAACTAATTTTATACTTGGATCATTTGAAATTCTGCTATTCGTTTTCCAAATTGTGTCCTCGTATGTGCGTAATCAAATGCCACATCGCAACAAGCCTGAATAATTCTAACATGTAACATAACAAAATATAATAACTTTATAAAACTTAATACATTATCTTAATCTAAAATAAAAGATCTTACCCTAAAGGCCCCGCCGATAACGTTAGCCGTTCCAAATCTAGACCACTAAATAGTACGTAAACGCCTTTGTTTACTTCCCCGAGTATATTTGTAACTGTAATTATTCATTTATGAACAGAATATAACAAAATCATATAAGTTATTATTATATATAATTATTATATTATTTTATTATATGTAAATTACCAGGAACTTTACAATCTTCGAATACAAGTTCACCAGTGTTGGAACCTCGCATACCTAATTTATCTAACTTTTGAGCAGTACTAAAACCTTCGAAACCTCGTTCTATGATAAATGCCGTAACACCGTGTTGCGGTTTAGCCGCATTTGGATCCGTTTTCGCATAAACGACAAAAGTATCAGCATCGGGACCATTTGTGATCCAAAATTTATGACCGTTTAAAATGTAGTAGTCACCCTTTTTTTCGGCTTGCAATTTCATAGAAATTACGTCAGATCCAGATGTCGATTCTGACATGGCAAGTGCCCCGATATGCTCTCCACTACATAACTATAAAAGGTATATACGTAACAAGATTACACATTAGATATAAATTCGGACATTACCTTTGGTAAATATTTGTACTTCTGCTCTTCCGTCCCATTTCTGTGAATTTGATTAATGCACAAGTTTGAATGAGCGCCATAACTAAGACCTATAGCACCCGATGCCCTGCTCAATTCCTCTATAACGATAATATTATCTAAATACGTACCACCTGTACCACCGTATTCGGATTTTGCTGTTATTCCTAATAAACCTAATTTGCCAAGATTCTTCCAAAATTCCTGGAAATAATTTCTAAATAATTAATATAGCTGAAACAATATTTCATGCTTCCTTTAATGTTCGCTTACTTACACGGAGGTCGTCGAAATTATTTTTTTTATCGATCTCAGCCGCTTTTGGAGCAAGCTCCTTTTGTGCAAAATTAAATATTAATTGTCGAAGCTACAAAAAACAAGCATGCTTTACTTTATTAATACTCGTATCTGTGTTAATTGAATTCAATAAATGATGTAAATGGAAAAGATCAGGCTTCGGTTATAAGAGTAACGTAGATTATTAAAAAATGATTTGTTCCAAATATCATTTTAACAATGTTAGTATGCACGTATAATCACTCAATTCGAATTCTATTCTAATTTTACTAACCTCTTTCTGTTCTTTGTTTAGTCCAAAGATATCATCATCTACTGTATAATATTTTGAAGAATATCTCACATTAAATTTATTATTTGACTTTAAAAACTTCCATAAGAGGGGTCTCATAAATTTACTGGTGTAAAACTCCATGTTTTTAAAAATCTACTATGGATTTCAGAATTGTGTATATATAAAACTGAAAGGCAGCTTTAGCGGTATATATACGTATGTATGATAATTTTCTTATCTACTATTTTACATTTAATCAGTACTACTACTACCAGCAATACTACTAAATATTTACTAGTTGATATATTGAAATACATATCAGACATTTTCTTCCCAAAATTATATATATTTGTATGTATTTACATAAATAAAATTGTTATCATATTTCCGTTTTAATATTTCATGAAATATTAATATAGATTTTGTGACAATGTATCTAAAAACTAACATAAATTTTACATGTAAACTAATATGTACATACTTAGAATCTAACATGGCTTGCACACAGCGCTTACAAATAGCGCATATTATATTACGTTAAATTTGAGTGTGCTTTAAACGTGGTTCGTATCTAACGTCCACATCATATCAAAATATTACTGTTTACAAATCCATTTTTTTCCTATTTTATTTTACCACATATAATTAATAATTTTTATAGATTTCTATTACGTTACAATATCGGAACAATCAGATGAATATGATTCGATGAAATATAGGTTAAGAAAGTGTAGCGGTGAAATTATTTCTCCATCAAGTTGTTTTAATTCTTACGCTATAATATATACTTTTCATAAACAGAAAGATGGGAGAAATGAAAATTAATATTAAGTCGGAAACAAAATATAATAAAGTAGTAAAACATATTCAGGTATGATGGAGGTTGGACTGTGGTTTATTTAACAAAATTTATTATAAGCAATTAATTATAAAACTACTTTTTTATAGGATAAATGGAAACTTGTGCCTGCCTTCCTCAAGGGCAAAGGTTTAGTTAAGCAACATATTGATTCTTTTAACTACTTCATAAATGTGGAGATAAAAAAAATTATAAAAGCAAATGAGAAAGTACTTAGTGATGCGGATCCTTTATTTTATGTAAAGTAAGCAATATTATCTTGCATATTAATTACACACTATTATATTGCACCACTTACTACATTATTTTCTTTTGTAGATATTTGAACGTTCATGTAGGTCTACCAGATGTTGAGGAAGGTTTTAATGTAACACGTTCTACTACTCCACATGAATGTCGTTTAAGGGATTTAAATTATTCGGCTCCAATTACAGTTGATATTGAATATATAAGAGGTCACCAACCAATAATCAAAAATAATTTACTGATTGGCAGGTATAAACTAATAAATATCTTTGAACTATTAATAATTAAACAATATGAACTGAATTACCTGTTACTTTCCTAGAATGCCTATTATGTTAAGAAGTTCAAATTGTGTATTAACTGGTAAATCGCATTTTGAATTGTCAAAGATGAATGAATGTCCACATGATCCTGGTGGTTATTTTATAGTGAATGGTCAAGAAAAAGTAATTTTGATACAAGAACAAATGCTTAGAAATAGAATTATTTTAGAGGAAGATAGTAAGGGATGTATTGTAGCATCTTGTAATAGTTCCACTCATGAAAGAAAAACCAAGACTAACATAGTAGGAAAAGCTGGAAGATATTACATGAGACATAACATTTTTCAAGATGTAGGTACATTGCAGTTATGTGGTAAAACTTGTGTGAATAACGTTTAATGGAATATAAATATATTGTTGTATATAGGATATACCTGTGACAATAATATTTAAAGCAATGGGGATTGTGAGTGATCAAGAAATTATGCAACTTATTGGTACAGAAGAAGAATTTATGAAAAAGTTTGCACCCACTTTAGAAGAATGTCACGTTTTAAATGTATTTGCTCAAAATCAAGCATTAAGGTATTTCATTAAAAAGTATAAGAAGTATTAATGTATATTATGAACATTGATTACAAGCATTGTTTCAGGTTTCTTAGCAATAAAAGAAAGCAAAAAAGGTATTCAGTCATAAAAGCTAGTGTTACGGATGAAATGAAGGATATATTGGCAACCAATATTTTGTCGCATGTTCCTGTTGGTAATTTAGTAATTATAATCATAATATAATATCTAAAACGGTATTACTATGATATTTGGTGTTACAGGTTATAGATTTTAATTTTAAAATGAAGGCAACCTACATTGCTTTAATGATTCGTAAAGTTATGAAAGCACAATCTGATGGAAAACTTATAGATGATAGGGATTATTATGGAAATAAACGATTAGAACTGGCTGGTTCTTTATTGTCTTTGATGTTTGAAGATTTATTTAAAAGATTTAATTGGGAGGTATTATATATGATAATATTAAATAAGGATCATAGTTCAAATTATGATATTTAATGTTTGCAGTTAAAACAAATAGCTGATAAAAATATACCAAAAATTAAGGCTGCACAATTTGATATTGTAAAACATATGAGACAAGACCAAATTACCAATGGATTGGCTTTTGCCATATCATCTGTAAGTAAATAACTAAATTCAATATATAGATAAAAGTATGTTAATATCAGATTACACACAAAAAATATATTAAACAGGGTAATTGGACGATTAAACGATTTAAAATGGAACGGCATGGAGTTACGCAAGTGTTGTCTAGACTTTCTTATATTTCTGCACTTGGTATGATGACACGTGTTAATTCTCAATTTGAAAAAACCAGGAAAGTATCTGGTCCCCGATCTTTGCAACCATCTCAATGGGGAATGCTCTGTCCTAGTGATACTCCTGAAGGGGAAGTGAGTGTTACTTCCATACATATACTTCAATCGAGATTATTAATTATGATACATAAAATTATTTATACAATACTTTTTATAGGGTTGTGGTTTAGTTAAAAACCTAGCTCTTATGACACATATCACAACAGAAATTGATGAAGAACCAATTGTTAGATTGGCTTTTAATTTAGGAGTTGAAAACGTTAATATACTTGGTGGAGAAGAAATCAATAATAAAAAAGTTTACATGGTATTTTTAAATGGCAATATCCTGGGTATAGTAAAGAATTATCAGAGACTAGTAAATGTTTTTAGATTATTACGACGGAAAGGTCTAATTAATGGTTTCGTTTCTATACATACACAGCACCAGCATAGGTAATGTTTATCTAAAATTTATATAATATATGATATTACAATTTTGTATAATTGTTACAATGTTCATAGATGTATTCAAATTAGTTCTGATGGAGGACGATTATGTAGACCATACATTATTGTACAGAATGGTAATCCACTAATACAAGAAAAACATATAAAACTACTTGAACAAGGAATACGAAGTTTCGAAGATTTTTTACAAGAAGGTTGGTAAAAAATATAAGAAACAAAATTCTGTCATGTTTTTAATAATATTATGACATTATTATTAGGTTTAATTGAATATTTGGATGTGAACGAAGAAAATGATAGTTCTATTGCATTCAATGAATCACACATTAATGAGAAGACAACACATTTAGAAATTGAGCCATTTACATTACTTGGTGTTTGTGCTGGTCTAGTACCATATCCACATCACAATCAAAGTCCAAGAAATACTTATCAATGTGCTATGGGAAAGCAAGCAATGGGAACTATTGGTTATAATCAACGTAATCGTATCGATACATTGATGTATAATTTAGTTTATCCTCAAACACCTATGGTTAAATCCCGAACAATAGAACTAATAAACTTTGATAAACTACCTGCTGGTCAAAATGCAACAGTAGCTGTTATGTCTTATAGTGGCTACGATATTGAAGATGCTCTTATTTTAAACAAGGCTTCAATTGATAGAGGATTTGGTAGATGTTTAATATATCGAAATGCAAAATGTACATTAAAAAGATACGCAAATCAGACATACGATCGAATAATGGGTCCATTGATTGATTCCAATACAAAGAAACCTGTTTGGAAACATGACATAATCGATAGTGATGGAATTGCTGCACCTGGAGAAATGGTGGAAAATAGAAAGGTATAGTTTTAAACATTGGTAGTAACAAATAAGTTGAATTGCACATATTTACATAATTAGCAAGTTCATATATTTTTTCTTTTTGTAGGTAATGGTAAATAAATCATCGCCGGCCGCAAATATAGGTCCAGTGAATGCTGGTAATGTTCAAACGCAAACAGAATACAAAGATGTCCCAGTTGTTTTTAAAGGACCTGTTCCTGCTTATGTTGAGAAGGTTATGATTTCCAGTAATGCAGAAGATGCATTTTTAATTAAATTATTATTGCGACAAACTCGACGACCTGAGATAGGTGACAAATTTAGTAGTCGACATGGACAGAAGGGTGTAACTGGTATGTATTTACACATACTTTATCATTTAATTTTGCAAGTACATTAATATTACTATCAATCTTTATACACAGGATTAATTGTGGAACAGGAGGATATGCCATTTAATGATTATGGTATATGTCCTGATATGATAATGAATCCACATGGTTTTCCTTCACGTATGACAGTTGGGAAATTGATAGAATTACTTGCTGGTAAAGCTGGTGTTATAAAAGGAGAATTTCATTATGGCACAGGTACAATAATAAGAAATTATTGTTTTGATAATTTTTTAAAATACTAATTTATAACAATTTTCATTTTTATTTAGCATTTGGAGGTTCAAAAGTTAAAGATGTTTGTAACGAATTGGTAAAGCATGGTTATAATTACTTGGGCAAAGATATCTTCTACTCTGGTATTACAGGAGAACCATTACAAGCGTATATTTATTCTGGACCAGTAAGTCGATGATATCTTAATTTTTAATTTCAATTTAATATTGATCATGTACAGTTATAAGGATATAACTTAAAACATAGGTATATTATCAAAAATTGAAACATATGGTACAAGATAAAATGCATGCTCGAGCACGAGGACCAAGAGCTGTGTTAACGCGTCAACCAACGGAAGGTCGGGCCAAAGAAGGTGGTTTAAGATTAGGTGAAATGGAACGGGATTGTTTAATCGGATATGGTGCTAGTATGATGTTAATAGAAAGACTCATGATATCCAGTGATGCATTTGATGTTGATGTATGTAACAAATGTGGCTTGATGGCATATAGTGGTTGGTGTCACAGTTGTCGTTCTAGTTCATGTGTTTCTACGATTTCTATGCCCTATGCTTGCAAGTTACTTTTCCAAGAACTTCAATCTATGAACATTGTACCTCGTTTAACATTAAAAAATTATTGTGAGTAGTTTGAATCAAGGTTACTGATATTCATATGTAAATACAAGGTAACCCAGTTAAATGCGATCGCCTAAATATCTGCCTAAATAATTAAATATTACGTCACTTTACATTATGTTCTATTGTGGAAATGTGATCCTTGAAATAGCTTAAGATATTCAGGTGATTCCATTTAACTGGGACATTCTATATATTCACAGTATCTGTGTGTGTAATTTAATTTTGCTGAAATATTGATAAAAGTATTTTTTATTCGTTAAGTTACTTATAAAAATATATAAGGTAATTATTTTTTACTGGAAGACATTAAAACATAGATTTCTTTGAATCAATTAAATCATATCATTTGTAGTGTACTATATATGTAACTTATATACACACATATATAACAAATTTAATCAACAAGTTATTTTATAATTTTAACTACTGGAAAGCTTATTACATATGTGTATAATATATTAGCAAATGGGTTTTGACCATTTAATTTGTTGATACAATTACTTCAGCAAACAAACAGATTTCTGGAGTTTCAATATAATTCTTGCTTTGTATTAATTTTAATTCAATTTTTCTTGCAAGTTGGGATTCTTTATCTTGACATGCTAGTAAAAATTTTGAAAAAAGTTATTATCATTTATTTTATATCTTTATATAAGGAAATGATGAAGAACAAATACCTTCAGAATATTCATAAGTTTTTAGTAGGACACTGTATAAAGAATTTACAGTTTTTTCAATGGCAGTTTTCATATCATTTTGCAAATACGTGTGAGCTAAAAATAGAGCAGCAAAAAGATCTCCAGAACCTGTAAAACTAGCTGGTATTTTTGGAATATTGATTTTTATTAATTTATTCTCTGAAATTAAAATAAATTTTATATGAATTTGGTATTTTCAAAAATTTTATTTAGTCTAAGTGTCAATCTTAATTACTTCATTACCTTTATTTGTACTAATTATTGCTGTTAGTTTATCATTAATTTCTGTTGATGAGACAGCTACTGTTTGGGGGCCAATTTTATGTAATACAGTTACAGCATCTTGTAATTCAGACATTGTATTGATTTTTATGTTACTTAATAATCTATAATAATTAAAATGATATTATACATTTAATTTATATTAGATTTATCAATGTCTATAACTTACTCCAATTCAAATTGATTTGGTACTACAATATCAGCCAATGGTACTATTTCTTCTCTATAAATTTCTTTCAATGCTTCAGGAACATACATTTTTCCATTATCTCCCATAACAGGATCACATACTTTTATTAAGAAGTGTATGATTAATAAAATAATATTTTTAACAAATATTACTTATTTATGTAAATTGTTTACCATATATAATATTTGGATTTTTATGTTTTAATACACGAACTACTTCCGCTATTTTTTTTAAAAATGAAGCAGAACCAACATATCCAGTAAGTAAATGAGTATAATTATCTAAATTATTTTGTACTAAACCATTTATTAATTCCTCTGTAAAGTAATTATAGTATAAATTTAGTAAAGTATACTGTAAAGTAATTAAAGTATAAATTTAAGAAATATTTAAACTATTTTTTATTGATTACATTCTTTAAACAAATTCTATATTACCTAAATCTTTGTCATTTAGTACTTGGCCTTTGAAGACCTTGTAGCCAGTATGATTGGAAAGCTGAACAGAATTAATTGCATCCACTTCAAAGCCCAGCAGCTAAATAGAACAGATTATGATTTTATATTTTTTATTTTGTGCCCAAGCGATTGCAACTTTATTGTTAAAAATATTATTCATGTAATTATTAAATAAACATGTAATGAAGCATGAAAATCATTTTTAAAGTACGAAAGAATGAACTTGCTGATAAAACATTGGTGATAAGACGGTGATAAGAATATGGTTTCTATAATAAAGAACATATTGTTTACCTGTAAAGGAAATACTGCACTTTTATTACCAACGTAACCAGATACTACATGACTTTGTATCGAAAGAATTCGTGGTGTTTTTTTAAAACACATGCTTGATCAGCTGATATTTAAATACAATTTACAGAACGTGATGAAACTACCTATTCAATACTTTTTCTTTGGTATAATTTGTTTACACCTCACACCCTTTTAATCCAGAGAGATGATATAAAGATACGCGAAAGAATGCAAGAACGCAAGTCATATATTACCGTGCAACTGGATGCGATATGACAACAGAAAGAGAACGCTACATAGAGGCGTCTTCTATTCTTGTCTAATTAGGCATGACACTAACGTCGCACAGTTGATCAGTGTATTATACTTATAGATTTACTATACGAGTGTGCATGTGTTATTAGACAAGGACGCAAGAAGTCTCTAGTGTTCTTCTTCTATTCCTGTATCGCTTTTTCAACTCTTTCTTTACCTCTATCTTTATATCACTATGATTTAGTGCCACTAAATACTTTATTATACATATGTATATTTATATAATGCTTCAGAGGTACATAATATTTTTTGCTATCTTTCAGTATTTTATTATTATTGGTGCATTGAATCTTTCATCGAGGCTGTTTTCATGTAACAAATCTTTTTTTAGATGTAATATGTAGCAAATACACGTAATATCTCGTAATTTTAGCATACGTAAAATATATAAAATATATAAGATTTAGCATCCAATGTATTTCTCTGTTACACATTCTAAAAGTTTTAGAGCCCGCCACGCTGATGGCATTCTGACTATTTTTGTGTCAATTTCAACGTTACCGATTCGATTCCATCAGAGAGGAAATATTTGATACAAAATCAGATTATAATATGTATCGCCATAGTAATTATATTTAAAATCAAATGCAATGCAAGTTACAGTATTTTATACATCTTAGTGTATTTTTATATAACATATAAATATTACATTTTAATAATTATTGAAAGAGTAAATTTTTCTAGAGTAAATATATATTATATGGCTGATGGTAAAGAAAATATTTAATGTAACGATCGAGTAACTTAAAAAAATTGTAGTATTTTTAATAACGCATCTATTTTAATGTTATTTCATGATTTGTTTGTACAGCTAAGAAAAGTATGGCGGCGTGGGAAGGCGAAAAATTTCAAGAAATCGGGAATGCCGATGATATCGAAGAGAACTTTAATAACATTCTCGTGACACATGATCTTCAAGATTGTCTGGATGATAGTTTAGATTTAACCAGTTTTGGGAAAGTGTATGAAGAAAGTGGTGTATTTGATTACGAGAAGTATTCCGATGACGATGCTCCTATAGACGAAAAACTATCAAATAATAATGTTACCGAGTAAGATCACATAAACTTTTAATATTTATTACTTTGTTTATAATACAAACTTCCTTTATATGAGCTAGATACAAATATTAGAAAATCAGTGAGTAAGATATACATTATTAACCTCTTAATTTGTAACAGCAAACAGTGTTTTGTATGACGTCCTTATAAGGATATAAGATATATAACGTATTTTGAAATTAGATTTTTGCTTTTCAGTGTAAAATTTTGTATTTATACAGTGAACGAAAGTCCTTTATACATTATTGGAGTTTTTAATGAATATATTTAATTATACAAAATTTAATTAATTTCATTTTCTTTCAATTATAGTTCAGAATATATTTTTTCAGTTAAGTGTATTTTATATTTAATAACTTGTGTTACTATTTTAATAATTTCGTATACTTTTGTATTACTGTGTGGCAATTAATATTTTATCATTCAAAGTATTTTTATTAATAATGTAAATACAATTGTTGGCATGACATATATGTATATAAATATATATTAATATAGGTCAATACATTCAATCAATCCTCATGAAATTTATATGCGTATCCATTCTGGCCGAGATGATATTTCAACAAGTAAATCTTCACATACAACTACTGCAATTCAAAGCATAGTTCCAGATGCAAATCAGAAGCATATTGGTCGATATACCTGTGAATATGAAGGTTGTAATAGGACATATAGTACAGTTGGTAATCTACGTACCCATATGAAAACACATAAAGGTAAAAATTTTATGTATGCATATATCTTAATTTATGAATAAAACATAGATTTTTCATAAAAGGTTAATTTTTACTAAGTTTGTATAAACAAGGAATAAAAAGATCTTTTATATTATTAATATCTAATGTGCTTTATATGTAGCAGCATGTCATGATAATTTTATTTTATACTTCTCAATTACTTAAAATATCAATGGTAATGCTTTAAAATTGTTCTTATCTTATTTGTGTAATAAAATAAAATTATTATATGCTTTGCATGTTATGCTTGTAGTATAATGTTTATATTAATTTGTCTTTCCTTCTTTTTGCCTGCTAAGTCTGAGGAAAATAAGGTAAGCTTATGAAATGTTATCAATTGGTGTGGTACTTGTTATTAATGAATAAAAAGGTATAAAGTCTGCTCATGTTTTACAAACTTTTCATGTATACTTTCTATTGGTTATAAAGTCATCAATGCTGGTATAAAGGGAACGCTTCGACCTGCATGGCTTTCAGATACTGCAAGCAATAGGTAGCCCAGCAAACTTTTTATGTGGAAGGAATTCTCAAAACTTTCAGGCGAGTATCGATTTAAATGTGCAGAACCAAGTTGTGGCAAGGCATTTCTTACGTCGTACAGCCTTAAGATTCATATTAGAGTACACACAAAAGTGAAACCATTTGAATGCAACCACAAAGGCTGTGAAAAAGCATTCAATACCCTTTACAGACTGAGAGCTCACCAAAGACTTCACAGTGGCAACACATTTAATTGCGAAGAGACTGGATGTGTTAAATTTTTCACTACTCTAAGTGATCTCAAGAAACATATACGTACTCATACTCAAGAAAGACCTTACAAGTATGTTTTTTGATACTTTTCAACTGATTTTCATCTTCAGCAATGTGCTGAATATAAACACACATTACAGAAATTTTAATATACAATTGCAACTGAAACACTAAAACTATGGATTTGGTTTTGCACTATTCAATTTGTATAATCTCTTCTATCTTATATCAAATGTGAATTACATAAAGCAGACTACATATGCATATAATATGTATAATGGATAAAAACATTATTTTTTTAGATGTAGGGAAAAAGGATGTGGTAAGGCTTTTACAGCATCACATCATTTGAAAACGCACAGAAGAACACATACGGGAGAACGACCTTATGTATGTACTGTAGGCAATTGCAAACGATCCTTCACCACACCGCATAGTTTAAAGAGTCACTTGAAGACTCATAAGAGAACGACTGATATCGACGAAACGGTACATAACAAATTTTGCAGGGTTATTATGCAGTTTTCAATGTTTCTATCGTATTGTGTTACTTTATTACAGAAACACGAAGTCAATAAAGATGATTACAGAAACCAAAGAAACAGTGAGATATTGAAAACCGAAATCGATGTTGATGAAATAACGTCGAGAAATACAAATGTGCCATGTTATGCCATTATACCGTTATCTTCTAGCAATACACAAAATAAGGAAAGTATTACTTATTTATCTATTGAAAATCCAAATGATCAGTCATCTTCTACAAATGATATGATAGATATCTTAAATCAAAACAGACTAACCAAAGAACTTGATTATAACATCACTAACAAAGATGCTGAAAATTTAAATAAATCAACAAATGTCACTGTTCTTGCGTCGGAAAATATTGTCATAGATAATTTTACCGGGCATACAATTGATAATTTTAATAATAATGAAAGTTATGACAAATTTAAAATATTCAATGAAGTAAATAATTCGAATTTACAACGGGAGCAAAATCAACAATATAGTTCTAATCCTTCAACGAAAGTGCAAGATAGCAAGGCAAATAATACAAATAAGTCCAATTCACTAAATTTGGAGCAAAAAATTATACAAGACGGCCTACAAAATACTATTGTTCACATCTCAGAAGGAACGAATTTTACAAGTGATGTGCAACAATATGTAAATGACAATACTATTGCTAAGAAAGTTTATGATAATAAAACAAATGTAAGTGCGGTTGCTGAAAACAATAATGCGACTTTGTACAACACAAATTCTGTTACTAGTCATGTATCAAATATAATTAGTTCCTCTAGTGAGACTCAACTCTTTGATAGTGAGATAGGAAATTTACCATTTATTAATGATAGTTTACGAACTGGATCTCTTAATGAAGTTGAACATGTATTGAATTGTAATGTTATTACAACTACGCAGTCGGAAGCTATTGAACTAGCCATAGCATCCGAGGAGGAAATACCTTCTCCCTGGATAGATGTCATGGCATTGGCAACACCATCTGCTTTAAGGCGGCAGTCCTGGTCGGAATTGAACGCTTTTCCAACAGCGGTTCACTCATTAGTCGATTTAGTTGAACCGGAACCGTATCCTTTACAGATAGAAAATGACTTGCAACCACTACAAGTAAATAATGTAAATTTAGTAGACGTGGAAAACATTAATACCGAATGTACCGAAGTCACATGTTGTAAAGAGAACGATAAAGATAAAGAAAGCGAAAATAGAATAAAAATAAAAAAAAGTAGAAATATCCTACAGGAGATTACAGCCGAAGCAGATATATGCAAATGTATTGATTGTAAATGTGATCATCTACAAAATTGTCAAAATTGCTCAAACAATACAATTCCTGAAATGGCTAAAAAGCATGTTTCATCGAAAATAGTAGATGATTTAGTGTCCTGTATACAAAGCGAATGTGTTTGCGACAATGAGCCCGGTGGTTGTGGGTCTTGTTGTGTTGTGATATGTTTAAAAACATTGCAGCAATTGCAAAAAGTATTCAGTCGTAATTGCTGTAAAAGTACTAACAGTATAACGTGTTGTAGAGAAAAATTGTTATCCCCATTAATGAAGTGCCAGTTAACAAAAAACCAATGAGGCAAATACTTTAGTGTGTAACTAGTCATGTCGAAAGAAATATTTTTACATAAATATTGAATAAGAATCTGTTATTTATCGTAATATATAAGCTAATTTTTCTTATAAATGTCAATGTTTAAAAATTTTGTCTAGAACAATCGAGAGTATGGGACTGTGTGTATATATTTGTATTATGTTTCAAGATTTTGTTATATAGATGCAATATGTAAATGTTATATATTTTTAAAGTATGTCAATTTATTTGTAGATTTTTTACTTAAAAGTTTTTAAATGTACATCGCTGTTGAATAGTTTTGAATAGTTTATAGAAAAGGAAAAATTGCATTGTGTGCTGTAAAAAATAGAAAAATGTCATTGTAAGAAACGAAAATGCCAAATTTGATATTTGTATATTAAGACGAGGATATAACATATTTTAATGTGCAATTACCATGTACATACAATTCTTATACATAATGATTGTTGTAAGATACTTAAATTCATGTAATATTGGGAATCAACAATATTTATGGATTTATGTAGTATTTAGAAAAAATAAATTATCTGTGACCATGCGAGTGTGTGATGTACTAAACATATTAATAGTTGAAAAAATAAAATATTTATTGTTTATCAACTGTTTTCTAATGTACAACGCTCAGAAGGGAGGTGATTCATCAACTTAAGGAGATTAATTATAAAAAAAGTGTGACGAAGTATGAAAATAATGTTAATGTTGTTAAATATATGAATTTTTGAATTTCTTACAAAGTAAATCACAGAAATTTTTTAGTCTTTGTTGTATTAAAAGTACTTGTTAAATGTAACAAAAAATCAAAACTTACTTTAAAGTATGTCTTATGGAAAAAAGATTGTTTGATTAAATAAAATTTTACTAACGTGTAATAAATTATTACATAAAAGTACGTATTGTTATTTTCTTTCTATAATAAGTTTGATTACATGTATGCATACATATATATATATATATACACGCACAGGCGTGCTCGCGCTCGCGTATATATAATATAGCTGTATAGCTTTAATATTACTGTATTTTCATGTAGGAGTATGACAGAAACATGGAAAATATGTTGCCTAAGGATTTAATGTTATACAGTTTGATATTTTAATTTATACACAATAGTCGCACAATGTTTACTGCACAGCTTGTACTAAAGCTTCTGCAACTTCAACCGCAATTGCTGCTTCAGCCTTATCTTGTTCCGACGATGCAGATGAAAGCTGTTGCTGAGCTTTACTAAGAAGTTCTCTAGCTGCAGTTCCATCAAGATTTTCCACGGGGTGAGCTTCTTCCGCCAAAATCTATCAATATTTTTTAATTTGCAATATTTTAGGGTAGAATAACATTAAAAACTATTTAACAGTTTGCTGCTCTTATTTAAATAATATAATATATCAAATATATACCTGTACGCTGTTGTTTTCATTTATAGTGACTGTCCCTGAAGAAACAAAAACTTTTTTGACTGTCCCATCTTCTTCGTATACTGTGACTACGCCTGGTTTTAATACAGCCAAGGTAGGAACATGTTTTGGTAAAATACCAAAAGAACCAGAAAATGATGGTACATCTACTTGTCTAATCACACTTTCATTATAAAATACCTGTAACACAATTTCATTAGAAATTCATAAAATTGAAATTTAAAAGAATATGTACATGAAAAAACCATGTGTTCATTTATACCTGATTAGCCCCAGCCAATGTAAACTTCATTTCATTGCTAACGGGTGCATCGGCGTAAGTTCTTTTTTGATTACGAATATATTTTAAATAAGGGCGTAAATTGCGTGCGATAGTAGCCATTTTAATATACTGTAACAAAAAATTATTCGTGAAGTTTTATGTAAAGTTGTATAAAATGATAACTGGAACTGGTTACATCACAATTCGATCTACATGTATTGTTCATCTCTTACATTTAAACGAGTTAAAGAGACAAGATACATATATGGAAGGCAATTAAATTTGACTGCAAGTTCAATACATTCATCTTCTAGATTTATTTAAATATCCCCCATACTGTAAATACTTACGTTATGGCAGTTATCGAAGATGTAAGTAGAAATTGGTATCAGCCACTGCAAGGAGGCAGACGAAATCCAAACCAATTAATACATATACATAGTACCAAGTAGTACAGATGACAAGGTTTTTATTATGCTCAAACGATGGCGTTACTATCGAAATGTTTCAGTAACGTCCTCTTTATTGCCTACAGTTGCTAGATTTAAATAAAGCTGCGCGAATTCAAGTTCTCTTAACGAAAATAATTAACTTGATTGAAATAAAAGTGTTCAAGAAATTCAGTCTGTGTCTCTGACATGCAAAATTAACAAAACTTTTGCATTTAGAAAAAAACTTCACACGTGAGTTACTTGTAATTTTTTATTTAACCACACAATGTTCATATATATACATATGTATGTATGTATATATGTACATGGCTGTTATTACTTCTTCATGTGTGTTAGCAGGTGCTGGTATCATTTATGTAATACATTCAATTTGTATAATACATCTTATATCTAGATCGATTTTTACATATTTTACATACGGTTCTAATTTCTTGTTAGCTATTTAAAAACAACATCAAAGAAATTACTTTAAAGGCTTATACTTTAACCAGAGCTTTATGTATCACAACGAATAATTATCAGAATCAATGAAACACGTTGAAGCTTGACTATAACTTTGTTGTTTCGTTCGTTCTTACCGTGCATAATGCATGATATTTTCTGAAAAGTGTTGTCCGTGGTAATACAGCTTCTAGCTATAGATGTCTGCTGGGATAACTCCGGTTTTTCTCCTAATTTAGATGCGTGGAAGAAAAATCGGAGTCCGATCGTCGGGACTTGAGAACCCGAGTCCCGAACGTTCGTAAGTTAAGGCGCTAACCACTGCGTTGTCGTCGTCTAGTACTACTTAGTATCGAGTGATGATGTATTTGCTCGTCGAGTGTCGTTACATATCCTATGATGCGTACTTAAATATCTTTTTTTATATCGAACATCCTGCATTCATTAAAATTTTTTGTTATAATTAAATATTTACATAATAAAATATTTACAACTATTTCGAATATTAAAAAGATAATTAATTTTTGATTATAAAATTTGTTATAAGGAAACCAGCTCTCCTATTAGTGCGTCAGCTTCGACGATAATTTATAAAATAAATGACGTTCACGGGGAATTCTGTTTATAACTATATACGAGCAAATTGTTTCTGACGTCAAAGATGATTAGAGTTCTATTGCAGCGTGTAATATCTCCTCTTTTTCTACTTAAACGTCAGCACCATCAGACGAAGTATCCGTACTATCGATTATGTTTTCTTGGTGTCTCGATTTTAAATGCCTCTCAAGATCTCTCCTTCTGACCAAAACTTTTCCACATAAGTCACACCTGTATGGTGTTTCGCCCTCCGAGTGTAGCCGTACGTGTTTATTCAAATTGCTAGGATCTCCGAATGGTCGCAGGCAATATTTGCATTTTAAGGGTTTGTAACCGGTATGGGTTCTGTGAATAGAAAGAATGCAAAATTTGGTAATATTTTCCACGAATATTTTTCGTGATGAACTTTTCGATAAGAAATTCGTCGAAAATAGAGAATGATTCCTTTGAGAAGAAAGTCGAAAACTTGGAGCGCGTAAGTTAGATACTGGATAAAACGAAACTCTGAACGGTATACTGACCTGATGTGGATTTTTAAACCATATTTTCTCGAATAAACCTTTCCACAATAAATGCAGAGGTGTCCTTGCTTCGATTTACCGAGATTGCTGACTATGGTTTCCACTTGTGCTGCATGGACGTCGGTACTGATCGGTGCGGCAGTCGTTTGCATATTGTAGGGCGTTAAAACAGTCTCGTTCTTTGTTAGTGGATAGATTTTCTTAAGGAAGTTGCTTTGATTTGAGTATGGCTGGAAAGCAGACTGTCGATGAAGTGTATCTTTCGTTATAGACGGCTCTCTTGTCGATATGCTTGGTGAAATTTGCGTGGATGAAGAATTAAAAGATAGCGCATTTGAAGAGGATGGAGAGGGTCGATCGGAACACTTCGATGGATTGCTATTTCCAAGCTGAGCGGTATTATCTATGGTTTTTATCGTGATCGGTGATACCCTGGCAGGCGGAGCTTGCGGCAATTTGGTCAGTTCGAATTTGAAAGTCGGATTGGGGAACAGGTTGAGAGACAAGCTTGGTCTCGGCGACATGTTGAACTCTTTGCTTAGTAACGTCCAGAGATGACTATTGTCCAGTCGATTGCACTTTAGGGCTAAATGTATCTTCAAAGGATTTGGGAACTCGAACAAGTTGTTGCATATGTGACAAATGTAGCGAGTCTGATCTGAAATCAATATACACGTCTTTGTGTCCTACTTTTATTCTATCCTATCTGCTGATATATGCTTTACCTTGTATGTTACATGGTGACAAGAATGGTATATTCAACATAGCGAGAATATATTCGGTAAACCACATCAACAGTGGTTCACCGGGAGTTATGTCCCTTATCGTTTTCAGTATTACTCCTTCGGCTGTAGTCATTAAAAGCACGTTACAGGCTTGACAGTCATTTGCAAATTCGATGATTTTTAACCAGCAAGGAGTGGTCACCAGCTTATTTAGGCAAATCAGGCGACCTTCCGCATCGATAATTTCAACCTGCAATTCATCGATGCAGTTGAAATAATTTACACGAATTCACTTTTCTATTTCGGCAGCCTATTTCGATATCACAAACTGTATTTTTAATACATACATACTGAATTCCCGTTGCACTATTCTGAGACAGTTTTTTCACATCAATGATCTCCGTCGAAGAATCTTTTCCAATCGGCCCCGCAGCTCTGACGATAGGTTTGTTTAAATATCTTTGGAATAAAACGATCTTTTTGTACTCTTCAGCGTTCATCATCAAATTATCCTCACTGCGCTAGATACTTTATCTCACGCCAAAACGATAGGTCAATTTCGATATGGCGAACACTGATCTTGGTTGGTATTAAAGTTTCTCGATGATGGTAACACGATGTCGATCTGTCAACTAAGTTCGAACTGCATTCCGCACGTGGCTTAAATATTCGGTGGGCTCGTACCCCGAATTGAGTATCAGGGGGTTGGACACTCGCTCCCCTCCACTGTTACACCCCATACCACTGTTAGTATACGTGTAATTGTATTTAAAGAACTAGTCAAGGTTAAACGGTCCACGTGCTTACGACTTGCGAATCCTAATGCTTTACTAGGGGAGGGGGTATAAACGTAGGTATGAGCGAGGTTAACGTTAACGAACGACGTGGGCCTTTTCAGAGATTTCGAAAAAACGTAAAGTATACCTATCAAGATTCGCGTGATTCATTATTTCAGGTAACTGTTAACTGACGATACGTTAAAAAGGAGCCTACCGGAAGGAAGCTTAAGAAGAATAACTCCACTAATTGACTGCCCCTATTTTCACTAATTTCGAGACGTTTAACACAAATCTAATGAATTTGTTACCACAGGTATAAGGAGAAGATTATATCCTTAACCGAGCAAAGTAAGGGTTAAGCGATGATTATGACATTCTCATGGTTGTTCTCTTTGTTGTTCAAAGCTAATTGCAAATACCATAAGCGCCGTATTGTTTGACCCACAAAATCGGTTACTGTCTATGGGTGATCCATTCTCCGTAATCTCTGACATGTATAAGGATTTTGTTGAAATATCATTGAAGAATGTACATGCAAGTATTGTATCTACAACCGTGTAAATAAGAACGATTTCCATAACATTTCACTTATCGCCGTATCGTTTAATTTTCTCATGGTTTCAAAGGATTCATGCGTGTTCAATAGTTCAGCACCACGGTTACCACTATAAACTTACAGTTGGTCAAAATATCGATATTCAACGCTAGATCTCCTACATCTACTCTTCTGAACTATATACCTTTTTTCTGGATCATCGTCGATCTTGGTTCGCGTTTGGTTGTGATCACGGAGCACGTGATACGTACAGGTCATGCAGCCGTCACCAGGAGCCGGCTCTGACTGAGTGTTTCATGGGGCTATAAAAGCCTCATGTGAAAGGACATTGTTTGGCTCAGCTGCAAACCAACATAGGCTCCCATGTGGAGGATGGGGGATGCTGCCGAAAGGTGCATCTGAATCAACTGTTGATTAGGAAATTAAGTGGCTCATTCTTCTCGCACGCGTGCGTAGGTCGTGATCGAACGATATCGCTTGGATTTACCTAATCGTTCTTCGATCTTTACGTTCTCCTCGCGAGCTAACTTATTGCAATTTGGATTTTGACTTATCTCCGATGACCGATTCTCTTCTTTTCGCAAACGTGCTCTTTTTGCTTACAACGTATATGTATACAGACTTATACTATCAACGAAACGCAAAAAAGATTTTCACCTTTTAAGTTCGATGCATTTCGCAATAAGGAATCGTTCTTCCTTCGAAAAAGGCGGGATACAACCTTACAACGACGGATACAACGAAAGACAACCTGTCGTGCGTCGACCCTCTGCATTGATCTGATTTGTAAAACAATCTACGATAATTAATAAATTACGAAGAATAAGTTCGAGAAAAAGTAGTAGACGGGTCGACCTGATAAGTTACGTACGCGTACGTATACGTGTCTATATGTGTACGTGACTTGACGAAAACTGTTTTCGGCGGACAGTAATTTTTCTTAATGAGTTGCTGTCTTTTCGGATTTGAACTTGGGACAGCCAAAGAAGTTGGAAAACGCTTTGGAAGCCTAATGAGCTCCTCGATCGTTTGCAGTTACAGTATCTCTACGTAGTTACGTAGTTACAGGTATCTCTAGTACTAATACCTAGTACTGACCGAGGTTACTGATACTTATCTAAATCTGCTAGAGAGACATTTCAAAATTATTACAGCAATTTAGTTTCCGATAAGGACTCGATTGTCATTCGTGATAAATTTCCTGTATTACTGCTTAAACCTTCTCCGATTGCTGTGTTTAGGATAGGTACATTAACATTTCGAACAAACGTATCTACTAGAAAGCTGATTAAAAGAACATTTAATTTGAATTTTCGTTTCGATCTTACAGTACAAATTGGTGCTGCCAAAGTAACGTATTCGTTAAACCGAAGGAAAGATAATCGAAGGAAGGGCATGGTATTTCCTCGATGGATTTCCTCCATTGGTAAAGTGATTCATCCCGGATGAATGGTGCCGGACCAGGGAATGACACGAGTGTTCACAAGCTGCACCATCCCTTGTACCAACCCTTGTCCTGGTCCCTCGAAGCTCAAGCACAAGTGGTCTTTTGCCATCAACCACATAATATTGCGTACCGACCTAAGTTGCGGCAAGTGTTCTTCGAATCTTTTATACTTTCTGTTTCGAGCCGGCCTTTCTTCGTAATTCTTCGTAATAATTAATTATCGTAATAATTAATTAGATTGTTCTACAAATCACAGGGTCGACACACGACAGGTTGTCTTCCGTTGTACCTGTCGTTGTAAGGTTGTGTCCTTTCTTAAAGGAAGAACGATTCCTTATTGCGAAATGCGTGGTACTTAAAAAGTAGAAATCTCTTTTGCGTTTCGTTGATAGCATTTCCATGATGGCTTAGTCCGTCTCTTGGATAGTTTTTGACATCGTCCGAACTTGGAGTTCCACCCTCTCGTTGTCTCTTTCTAAAATCAGGGTGCATTGAAAGAACCGCAAGCCAGTCAGCGAACAAGTGTTCCTCCGTGACCAATGGACCCTTGCACGCATGTGCGCGCTTCCCAATGCGATATTAATATCGCGATTATCATCTACGTATTATTGCCTGCCCCTCGTGCGACGCTCAGAACAAGTCTGTAAGAAACACCCTGTTCAGTTTGCGCGTCCATGCTCTGTTACTTGCAACGCGTACTGTGACAGTAGTATCACTGTACGTTTACAAAGGCACTTGCAACGTCACGTGGCCTGCGATAGATCTTCAACAACGACTTTTCCGTACATTCCTTTTTCAACGCATCGTCCGTACGCTCTGTCCTAAGTTTACTTAGAGGCCTCTTTATATCGTTCGATCGTTAGACGACCAGTATGAATTTCAATACTCGATAGGGAAACTTGAGTGCGAATCTTTGGCTTCGAGCCTTAGGTGGCATCGAAAATCCAAGCGCGATCCCTTCGATACACAGAGACGTAACAAATCTTATTGTTCAGCGCCCTATCGCGAGATTCTATAGATATAATTCAAGTTGTATGTTACAGGGTAAAGGCTGAATTATGGTTGGCTTTACGGGGAGGTGACTATAAATATGATTCGTTTTGGTTCTGCAAGTGTCGAAAATATGCTCCTGATAGCTCTTCCAACGAGACACTGGTTCGCGTGTTGTTAATATTTGCCAAGTATCTTCGCAAATACTAGTTGTTTGCTAGTCGTGGATTTAATCTAAAGATAAAAAATAATCTAAAGATAAAGATGACAACGAGTACATGTAAAGGCACGTTGAGATTTGTTGCAGTTAAAACTTCGTTGCTTCGGTCACGTGTCGTTGACATATTGCTCGTGTCTCTCGACGTCGAGTGTTCTGTAACCTGACACGTGCCGATCGAATACCCTATAACACCATTACTGAGAATGCTTCACCCCGCGTTCAGGTTCCTATTTAACCATTATATACCATTAGGTATTGTTTACTTGATTTTAAGGGAGTCACTTCATTCGATGATTTAACGCAGACAAATACGCGAAGTCTAATCAAGTTGCCATTTCACTCGCAGCATCGAACTTTTCGATTATCGGCTAACTGTTGTTCGAAAAATATTTCCCTCTGGTATGCTTATTCGTAGACGTTAACGATATTTCGTTTTAGTATTTAGTTTCTACTTTAAAAACGTTCCTTAAGCTTGAGTGACAGTTGCGCAAGTTGTAGAAAAAGAGATCATTTTGAGAGGAATGTTCGCAACGAAGGTTTCCCGCGTATTGATGGATAAAAGAAACGCGCTGAAATACAGGTGGCATGGATCACATGGTGGAACAGCGTAGGAACCCCCTATGACCGATTAGACTCTATCACGGTACTCCCTTCTTGAATCTCCCTAAAAACACGATTCACTTGGCACACGAGTTTTGTGCATATAATGCAAGGTATCGGGACAATTCCTCCCTCTCCTTACTCCGCTTAATTTAATCCAATACGATATGGCTCCCCTCACCTTGTCGTGTTCATCGCCGGAAGGGGTGCGTGGTTTAAGAGGGTGGGTGGCTTTTTAAAACTGTGCCGATCTCAATTCACCGTGAAACCTCATCCTATTATCGTCTATTTAATCCTGATTGAGCCTGACAGGTTTTTTTTACTTTCGCGGTGTACCGACGAATCTTATCTCATTTCGAGAGAACGTCGTTGAATCTTCTCTTTTTAATTCTCGCATTCTGTTTCTTTCCTCTCCTTTTCGAATATGAATACGAATAAATTTCAGCGGGGAAAGCAGAGGCATATAATGGCACACGACGTAACGTAAAAAAAGAAAATTTGCAAGTGTACGTGTATATTGGTAGATACACAGGGTGGTTGATACAACTGGTAGTACAAGCGGAAAGGGGGTGATTCTACGCGAAAAAATAAGTCGAAAATATAGAATACAAATTTTTCGTTCGAGGCTTTGTTTTCGAGAAAATCGACTTTGAATTTTCGCTCGGTACGCGTGCACTTTGTCGCGTCTCGTTATAACGGATCTCACTGTAGACCGTCGTTTCGATGGATATTATCGCAGTTTAAGTATGTTTTTGCCGTAACTGGAAAGTAGGAATACATGATGAAATAATACGAAGTAATCATAAAGTTTGTTATTACAAAATGCAAAAGAATTACTATAAATTATTACGATTTGCGCTTTGAATAAGTCGATCAACAGAGTTCAGTCTGACGAAAAATTACTCCGTCCACAACGATAGTCAGCGCTGGCAGAGCGCCGTCCGTAAGGGTCAACACTGATTTCACTTGTGCCTTTCCAAAAGGCAGGTAGGCACAGGTATATGTAATAGACCGAGACACGAGTCGCACGGAACAGATGTCGATGGCGCCAGGTATGCGCCCGTTTAGTATATTTTACTGTTGTCACAACTTTCATTTTTCGAAGCTATGAACCTTATCTTTTTCTTAAATTCCCAAGAATTGGTCTTTTTTATTTTTACCTATCTCTGTTAGAAACAATGTATAATTATACGAGAGAAAAATAGGATCGCACGTTGTATTCGAGTTTCTTCCGAAGTGCGCATAGTTTACCTTCGTAATCTGAAATAACAGACGAGCTGACAAGTGAAATTACGTCGGACGGTTTTAGCGACGTTCGTATTTTCGACCTAACGATCGCCTGCACAGCTGCATTTCCGTGTACAATAAGAGATAAAAAGATAAATTGACGACAAATATATGGAGCTCGATTTTTCCTAAATTATACGAAGGGAAAGTTTATCGGACAGAAGTTACACTGAAAGAATAGAGGAAAATAAAAGGAACATAAGTAATATACGATACAAGTAATATATAATATAAGTAACATAAGTAATAAACATTTCGTTTATTCGCATCGATCGAAGTATCTTTCGTGAAACTAATTATCATTGCGAATCTTTCGTTCACCTATGAATCTCAGTCGATCGGACTCGCCGTTGTTCTTCCTCGATTCGAAACGAACCTGGAAACAGTAATTAATAAATTGTCATTGTTCCACGTGTGAGAATTAATAGAAGAAGATAGAATTGTTTTTAAAAGTCCAGCACGAACGGATATATTAGAGAACGGATAATTAATTTCTGATGGATTTTCGTGGAATACGGCTGTGGTAGTTGGTGTTTGCTATGGGGATCGAAAACGCGGCGGTGACCTGTCACGGAGCGCAACCGGACGAGATGGATTTGTCTCGCAGCTGTGTACACTGCTTAATGTAGAAGCCAGTGAGATGGGGATTGCTCCGGTGCTGGTGGAGGTGTCCCTAAATCCGAAAGCTAACTATGATATGCTCGTTTTTCAGTCGCAAGATCAACGAGTATCAAAGCTTTGGCAAAGGACGATCCGAATAGTAAAAAATTCACCGACTTCGTCGATCGCTCGATGACGGTTCCTTACGTATTAGTATAGGAGGCTTATTTCGTTAACTTTACGTACGAGAATGTTTGATCGACTCGGTTGACTAAACGGCGTCTGAATTTTCGATAACGGGTGGTTCGTAATTTACGAAATTTGGGTCATCACCACCATCCTCGATATGATCCATCGACGGTTTCCTTCTCCTGGAGACGTCGTACTCTTCGCCAAGCTTTTTGTATGCTTCTGCGCGATTTTCTAGAATTTCTCTGACGATCTCTGAAAGATTACAAGAGGACAGAAAAATTTGTTACGAATGTGGATTAAATGGTTGCAGATTTATCATTTATGGTCTGTTTAAAGCGACGATAGATAACGACAGTAGGGATTCGAGTCGTTATAACGCGACGCAGCGTTGTTGCATCAGAATCTCGTCGTTGATAAAACGTGATGTTTACGATTAGTATTAGGTCATCCCATAAGATCGTGCCGACTTTTGCGTATACGTTTCACGTGTCGATTTATAAACATACGGCGATAAGGGGCCAATGAACTTGAGCTTAGCTGATCGAGAACAGACTAGAACAGATTTTCGCGGGTATAAGATCGTAATATATCGAACACGGTGACTTCTAAAGGTAAAAAATCACGAGTGAAACGCGTATCCATTTTCGACATCTCGTGTTGTATGAATTTCGGAAAGGAAGTTCTGTAACGATTGCCACGAAAAACATATCTGCTGTTTACGGAGAAAATGCGCTTTCACCTCGCACCTGTAGGAAGTGGTTCCAACGTTTTAGAACTGGGAATTTCCGTTTAGAAGACGAGGAACGCTCCGGACGACGTCCGGACAGACGGACGAAGATAAAATTCGGGATCTCGTTGAAAGATCACGAAGTTTGACAGTTCAAGAGATGTCGAATGTTCTGAAAATACCTAAGACAGCGATTCATAGGTGTTTAAAAAAGATAACATATGTGGCGGATCGGTATCAACAGGACGCCGACAGGTCGAGCCAACACCAGAAGGTTACGAGTCTGTCTATCTCGCTAGCGGTCGAATATACGGGTCAAATACCGCACCCAGCGAGACTCCCTCTACGTCTAAGGCAGGGACTACCGGGCATAGGCTCACCGACGAGTCCACAGGTAGTCCCAGGACGAAACGCAAAACTCTCTTTTCATCCGCCACACATACATAACCGCTTGAAAAACGGCACGATCTTATGGAATGATCCAATAGTTTCGACTTAAATTCTTTGTTCTTCCTAAAAGATTATGAAGGACGAAATGGATGGAATGGATCTTGCACGCAATTGTGCGCTGCCTTTGTGGTTAAAAGCGTCATTAGGAGTACACAAAGAAAAAGGTAAGACGTTATGTCGGTGTTGTCAACATCTCTGTAAATCTTGAACAAACTTCCGGCGAGGTAAAAATCGTATTTTACGAAGGGTATGCTGAAACTTTCTACCGTCTTTGAGAACCGTTCGTCTTGCGAGAACGTAATAATACGCGTATCAATGTCGTGATTTTCGATTGTATAATTTAAATCGAAAGCGAAATTATCTAGAACCACGGGAGTTTTCAGTATGTCGGGCCAAGTTAGTAATAAGTCAACGATATTTACCCATGAGTAATTCCCTGCTCTCGATCATGTAGCCCATTTCTTTTTTAACCTCCTTCATCAACCACGGCATGAAACCCTCTTCGACATCTGTGAAAACGAATATTGCAGCTTTTTATTAGAACGAGTTGTTGCTAATCTGTGTTGAAAAAAAAAAGGAAGTGGGAAAAATGGGCGAACGCTTCTCTCGTTATCGAATTATCGGATAAAGATTATAAATAAAGAAAAATTAATAAACCTTTCTGAACGAACTAATTCACAAAAAGTAGCAGTGTTCTTGAGTGTTCACGAACCAGCCTTGATTTCGTCCAACAGGAACCCGGACATCTTCAAACCTTCCAGAACCGCTGGTAGAAGTTCGGCTATATATCCTGTTAAAAGAGTAGCCGCTGCGATTCGTTCTTCCGTTTCCTTTCGAGCTATCATCGCGTCCTCGTGTTGCCTTAATCGTTGATCCTATCGAACGAATTCGAACGGCGATGCTTAAGAACGAAACTTTTCGAACGATTAATCGACGATGTACAAACCTTCTCTTCTCTCAGCCTCCTTTCTTGTTCTTCCAGTCTTCGCGCTTCGGCTCTTTCCGCAGCGCGTAGTTCCAAGAACTTCCTCTGTTGCTCCCTCAAAGCGGCAATCTCCTCCTCTTCCAGAACTTCTATCAATGCCTGTTCTATCGTTTTACCAACAAGCATCTCGAGAATCGGTTGCACCTCGAAGTCGAAGTCGAACAGCTGAAAGTAAGGTCGTTTGCTCGAACGATCGATAGCCGATCAAATGTGTAACATTTCCAAGAAGAAGAATCGCTTGGATTTTCTCCAACTTACGTCACCAGGCTCGATTTGAGTACTAGCATCTTGGCCAACTTTATCCGGGCAATATTTCGGTGTCGGCGGTCTATCCAAGAAGTAGTCCGTCTGTGTCGCGACATCGGTTTCGTCTGGTTTGTCGAATAGCTGCCAAACATAACGTACACTGTTCGATTACGTGCTGTTGCAAGACACTCGAGAGAGGAGTTCGACGAATCGTCGAGGATAGGGCGACGTTGCTCACCTCTTCGAGGTAAACTTCCGTTTGCACCGGCTCGTGCTTGCGACCAGGAACCGGCGGTGGCGAACCTGCTCTAGCGACCAGAGCTTTAGTAGCTTGTGCTTGAGCTCGTTTCCTCGCCAAATTCCTCCTTCTGGCTTCCGCTTGCCTCGCCGCTATCGATTGTTCTCCATCGATCTAAGCCAAATGCGTAATTACGTATTCTTCCATATACGTGCACGAGTTGCGGATAGTTCGTTCGGTTCGTTACTTACAAGGATAGGAGGAGTGGCGAACGTGCTTCCCCGGACGACGCGACGGTCAAACATAATATTGCCAAAAGGAATCGGTTGATCGCTGTAAAGGGAGGAAACGAAGGTACCTTACATATTTCGCGAGCTAAGTTGGAAATCTTGGGCAAGCGTCGATGAATTACATATCAGGGTGTATTTTAAGTTGTACACATGTGTACGTTACAATACTATCAGTATGTATATATGTATACAAACGTATCTACGATCCAAGTGCACGCAATCACACTCGATGATCTTCGGCGTCTCCTGCTTACACGCAACGGAATTATTTACGACCTTCTCGTTTCTACCGTTCCCGACACGCTTTGTTAAACGCTTTACAAGCAAACTTTAACTACCCTTTCGTGTTACTCTCTCTCTCTCTCTCTCTCTCTCTTTTTCTCTAGTACGTAAGATAAAACGCAGCGAATAAGTTTCCCAAAATGTTGGCAAACTTACGTCGCGTCGTTTCTCTTCGCTGTCTTCGCTCGGTCGTCCAAGGTCGAGGCAGCCATGGTCGTCGCGTTCATCATTCCGAGAGTAAAGTCGACGGTGGCCTTGAGAGCAACCGGACACCTGGCAATATGGCTGCTATGACGTACTTCCGGCTTTTTGGTTAACGACGCGAGTGATTTGAACTTGGAACGCAGCGGACAACTATCGAAGTCCTCGGTGTCGTTAGAGTTCGATGCGATGCCGAGAAGAGACGCAACTTCCGGCGGTGGCATTAGAAATTCGCCTGTCTTGACGGTCGTGATGAATGGTTTTCTACGGAAAATTTGATTCTTCTTTGCGCTTTTACGCTGCTCCTCCTTCTCTTGCTCCTGTTCCTGAAGTTTTTTCAGCTTCGCGTTTAGAACTTCGTTGAAGTCTTCCGTAGACAAGGTCATACTAGGCTTTATCGCTGGTATTTTATCCACCGATCGTGAGCTCTCCTGGCTTCTGCTTCGTGCTTCTCTCCTCAATGGATTCGCTTGGTTCGATTGCAAATTCGCTTGGACCAAATGATCGTTCGATCTGCTGATACGTTTCCGATCAAACAGGTTGTTTTTCACGTTTTCCAAACAATCATCGACTACCGATCGATCCATCTCACCGCAATCGTTCACACGAAGAAGAGGCAGATTGGTGTCCAAGCCATCTTTCCGAAGAATGGTAAATGCCGGAGAATTCTTTCGTTCGAGATCAAAGGGATCTCCGTTGGCTGTGGGCGCCAACGCGGAAATTCCAGCTGGCATGTTGCCGGCGTTTTCAGGAAGTTTTACGGTAACTTATACCGCGCATTTTCGAACCACACGGTACATCGATCGGGTTGCCGTTGGTTTTCTTCAGGTCTCCGCGTACGTGCGTTTCATCTGTCTTGCTTCTTCTGTTTTTAAACAGGCGGTGAATCGAGATCAGTGGTTTGGATCGAGGACGATAGATGGAGAAGAACGAGACGACTCGAGCGCTTGCACGATGACCACTAATAGATCCGCAATCGTGCGAGCGTGTTCACGGACTGGACAATGTCCTTAGAATCGACCGATATGTACCGCAGACATGCTACACGTATATTTTTACCCAGCGCCCACTCAATAACGCTGACCATCGCGAACTTTGCGCATGCCTAAGTCATGCTAAAGGGGCTCGAAATCGGTGGTAACTATGACCACGTATGTCCGTTGGTGTTTTGCAAAGCACCGCGACCAGAATTTCCCCTCAACTATCCGACCTCCTCCGTCAATCTCTTCTGGATGAAACGTTCGCGTTACGTTTCTACTTACTTTGTCGCTGTATTTATACTCCAACAAAGATCAACGACATCGTTTAAACCGCCTGATCGCGTGTAATCGTCAATTTAGTCTTTTGCCTACGCTCCTTCCCTTTTAATAACGTTGCTGTGTATATCGATCATAGACGTTATTGCGTTATGATCCGCTTATGATATCGCAAAAATATTCGAACGTTTGACGTACGAAATCGTCACACCTCTCTCTTGGACGAGTATATTATGGTTATTGTTGAAGAAAAACGTAGCCATCGTGTTCAACGTTGTTTACGCGTTTCTTCCTCTCTATCGCGATAAAAATTTGCAACATTTTTCTATTACAAATTAACCTTTCGTTTCTCTTGTATTATATGTATAAATCGCAGTGTCACGTTCGTCCTAAGTAAGAAACCGTGCGTGGCGATGTTTGAAATTGATTAGCGAAACGTAAGAACAGCCAGCTATAATAACGACGAACATAGGCGATCGTAGTAGCAGTTTTCCATGTCAGAAAACCGTGTAAAGATTTCATGAGTTGATATATGTACGTGGAATACGTTGAAAGTTCCAGGCGATTGAGAAAGTTTTCATGAGAATATGAGAAGAAGTTTGAAAATTGGCAAATATGATGGAAAAAGATGATGAAATAGATGGAAAAATAGAAACAATTTATTTCGTTGATGCTTGCCCATGATATCTTGAAAGACTTCCTAACCAAATGCCGCGATTTTTCTATAATCTTTCGAAACGTTTCGAAAACTTACGTGGGTGGATTTCTATATTTCTTCTGAACGTGCAAAATTGCCCTTGGACTCTTGACAAAAGTATAAGTTTCTTTTCTATCTGCTTCCCTGGCCGGTATATTGTAAGAGTGAATCCCACGATTACACGTTCGGCACATATCCGTTCTGGTAGCCATCTCTTTTCCTTAATGTAGTTATAAATACAAATGTTAATAGATAGTTTTACTTCGGCCAATCGTTATTACGTATTAATCGCTCTTTTTGCAAAAAATTCTATGAAATGCCTGCTGTAAGGTTGACCACAAATTCGTAATGGTTTCAAAGACCATCTACTTGTGTACTTCAGTTGTCAAGGAAACGCAAAGAGGAAGAGTTTTCCTTATGTGTGTATTGATATAACTTTTACGATAGTCGACCAAGATTTTATATTAATTAACTAAATATAAAACTTAAAACAATTTTTAGTAGCAATATTATTAACTACCGTTATTTTGCACTCGTCTATTTTTCTGTAAAAGAAGGGAAAGTTTAAATATTTTTAAAAAATTGGTTGAGATTGATAACAATTATGATTAGTTTTAATATTTTGTTTTAGAGCGTATAAAAATATACATTTATGGTTAGTACAACTGAGAACTATTTCATCGATACTATTTTTTAGACCGAAACTACAGTCGGTATAGATGGTAATTATCAATATTTACCATACGATATAACGAAGACGTATCGATCGAAACTTCGACTGTACCGTTGTTTGACTCTTTCTGAGGGCTGCTTATAGTCGGCATCCACGAGATGGCCTGTGGATACGAGCGATACCTATAGTCGGCATCCACGAGATTGCCTGTGGAGCGCCCAGATTCGTGGTTAACGAATGGCTTTTAACAGTATGCAGATGTTCACACTGCATCTCAGTGCTGTTTCACAATAGAATTGCGTGCAATGGTCCTTGTAACTCATATCGCCGAGCACCGAATCTATAACTTCGACTTGTCGAAATGGGATTAAGAAATGAATAAAATATTTAATTATTAATAAGAACTTATACGAGAATGCATATTAAAACCTTATATTCCGTAATAAGTGATGTAAAACTGGTACGACTATTACGAATCTTATATGATAATATAATACAATGATAACGCTAACAACAGGTAACGCAATGGAAACAATGACGCACGAGAGATTTCATATCGAAAAGGTAAAGGTGCGAACTCGGCCGATACAGACCTTTTATACCCTTCGTCGTAGGAGATAAGCTGGTCTAACCTACGTGGAGACGGCAACTTTCCCATTGATGGTTGCTGTTATCAGATGCAAGCCTCGGATGTCAAATATGCAGCAGCCTTTCGTAGATAAAGCAGTTCTTAGCAATCATATCGGTAAAACGGCAAACCATCGGTAGGCACAAATGTCATGCCTATGCTGTATTTGGTCGATATAATCGCTGGAGAGTCGCTGTGATAATTCCGTGCCGATAATGTTGTACCGTAGGAAATCGCAGAGGACTTCAGTTAATGGCTATACCGAAACATTGAATGGTCGCTGCACAACCGACTGCCGGTTTTCATCGCTGCCATGGCTATGATAAACACTATGAGAGGTGTGGTAGGTCTACTACAAACAGTCGAGTAAGCAATATAATTTTTTGATTTACATTGCGTGAGAAATATAAATGTACATGAATAATCTCTATTAATTGTCCGTTATATGCTTTTTTTAGACGCGGCGATACTTGGTGGGGTAATTACATATATTGCAGGTTTATTGTTAATTATAAATAAATAATTTTCAAACGTTAAAGTTTCAATACTAATTAACTGGAATATATAGTGGATGTCTTTAGTACTATTTAATATATGACAGAATATTTTTAACAAGCATATGTTAATTTACAAATATTTTGACGGTTAAATTAATTTAATTTCAGATCTTATTGGATTAAATCTTACCAGGAGACTTTAAACGTATGGGGCTTTGGGAATATTGTTTTGAACAGTTTAGATATCCATATTATCAGTTTGACAAAGAATTCGATGGATGTCGTCACAGATTTTCTCAGAAGAATATTATCTGATTATAGTATGGTTATTGCCAAGGTGGCTAATGATCGTGCAAACATTTTTTACACTTTCTCTCCTACTCTAGTTTTTAGCATAAGCTGTGATTGCATTAACATTAGTCTGTTAGTCTTTAAAATTTGTATTGAATTACGAGTAGTCGTTTTCAGCCACTGCTTTTGCGCGTTGTGTCATAGCAGGTAAATAAAAGTTTTCAATATCCTATCATGTCGATATAGCAAAAAATGTTTATGACATTCAAATAACCTTTGAATTTTAGGTACCTTTGAATTGTTTTTAGCAGCACCAATATTTGGAGGGCAATATTGGCGTAGAGACTAGTTAATGTCTCCAAACTTTAACCATTTATCGTGGTTATACGATTTGGCAGTTATTTCATTCGTGTTACATTGGTTAACTACATGTTTGTTGTATCTGGGTGCGAAAACTGGTTATAGACTGCGCAGGGAATTTCGAAATTTAGAGATGCATATGCAGCCCAATCTACACATTCATCAAGGATTATCAAGGGAAGGATATATATAATTTTTTGTTATATATAGATAATATCAAGGCAATATTTGGTTATAAAACGAGCTTCGACTCTGTTTGACAACATTAATTACAAACGAAAACTTATAGATCTGCTTTCAAAGTTTTCCTTGTTACGTGACGTAGTTCTGTAATTCAGTTTTCAGTGTTCTCAGCGATAGTATTTAATCCCGTGCATTTTTTATAAAAACCTGTATCTCTGGATTAAGAGAACTATTTTTACATTTCTACATTTGTTTATCGTTAATATTTTAAATATATATCTAATTCTAAAACGTTTTAGATATTACGAATGTCTTGTAATTATAACAGAAATAATTGAAATTAAAAAAATCACAAGAAATAACGTACCTTTGTAATCATTTTTTACTCCACAGTTTTACGTAATAAACGTTGGTATACTTTAAAAGTAAGCTGAATATCTTAAAAAAAAAAACATCAAAATGGAACAAGAACCTACAGAACCATCTACGCGGACCATCCTCGAATCAGAAATAATCAATGGTTTTTCTTGTTATCAAATCAAATTTGAGATCGAAAAAGATGATTTTGAGATACGTTTTAGATGAAATTTCAGACGGAATACGCGAAACTGGTTTGAAAGTGAAAGCGGGTATCGAGTTACTGGTCACATCGGTACGATAGATACCAATTTTGTTAGTGATAGTTACATTGGAAACGCATCTTACCGATTCATGCCAAAGCTGCTTGAAAATGCAGTCAGAACCGTCTTCTGATTTAACCTATTGCAATTAAATCGAGCGCAGAGGTTAGAACGTTGGAAAACACAGTTTTACGGAAAATATAAGTTTCGTAACATTGAAACATGACACATGGTTGCATCGTACAGATCTTCGATACCAGAGAAGATAGAAATTGTCGAATTATATCAAGATAAATTTAATTTTTTCTTTGTATTTCTTGTCGTTAGCCCGAGGTATTTTAAGTTCCTTACGCTATGTAAACACTGGTGGAAATTTATCCTCGTGAATCAACAATAATAACGATGAAAACGCTGTTACAGGTAATTCTTAGTATTTTTTTAGAATGTCCGTGATCTTCGTCGAACCATTATGACGAAATATTTGAAATGCTTGGAAATCCCAAAATCGACATTAACGTTTGGGTGGCTTCGAGGACATCGGTTCCTGCATTAATACAATAGTATACACGCACACATATAATATATATATATATATAGGGGAAAGGGCGTTTTCGGTTAGTTAGACGATTGAGAGGTGGGCCGAGAATGCTTGTTCTTCCTGATTCGTTCGAAAAGAGGAAGAAGAACGTATCGAGATCGATTCGAATGAAAACGAAAAGAAGAAAAAAAGAGATAGAGAAGCAAGAGGAGAAAGAGAAGGAGGGTAAGAACGGCGAGGGATGCGAAAAGGAGGATAGACAGAGGATAGAGACAGAAACGCAAGAGCAGAGGCGTAGGAGGAGATGCAACGCGAAGAAGGAGGGACGAGGAAGAGGGCAAAGATTTTGGCACCCTGCTGAGTCCCCTAATTGCCTCGCCATCCTTCCCTCGAAACGTCCAGCACGCCCTTGAACTCTCTCCT